CAACACGACACATTACTTGTCGAATTTTTGGACACTAACGCGCTACAGGCACAGCAGCTGTTAATGGGGCCACTAAGGGACGACGAATAAACAACAAGGGATACCGTTACATATCGGTATTAAAAGGGTACATTGTGTTGGTAACTGGGAAGAGGCTGATGTGTCGCGCAAGCAAGGATTTACCAAGCCTATTCTGGTTGAGTTTAGGGACGTAATTCACTGGGACCAACTGTTTAACAGGGCCGGTTAACTGGAATCAGACCAATGGTTGGTATCAGGTACAACCGGACACACACTTCACAAACCCAAGTCCCATAGATAAGTCGGTCGGAAGGTTGTGGAATCGGCAGTCTTTGTTAATGGAACTCATGACAGCGATCCTCGTGTTACAATACCGCCTAGCATAACCAATGCGACCTCTGTTCTACACCCGGGGCACTCATCTCGACCCAACACACAACACAGGCAGCACCGGACACACTTCAAAAACTATTTCCCCAAAAATAAGTCTGTCCGAGGGAACTAACAACCACCAGATTATCTAGCCTGCATCCCGGGATACTGCTTCTTGTGTTACGTTAGGTCACGTTTACGCCTAATGAAAACGATCGGCAGCGATTTCACTGTCTATTTGGTATTCCTGAGTCCTTTGTTATGATTAAGAATGTATTTCTGTGGTCCATCGACCAAAAGCGCGTGAAGTCCTGTAGCAGTTCCTCAATAGAGAAGTTTATCGTCTTGTTTACACGACTAAGGAGCACATGCAATGAAATTTCGAGGTTCTCTGTTGCAAAAACTAGCTGTTTTGAAAAATTTTGGCGATCGCCCTTCTATGTTTTCGCTTCCAAAAATCACTGGAATTCTGCAAGCGATATTTAGGTGAAGGAAGTTGCTTTCTGAGAAAGCATCTACTGTTGCAGAGGATTCGCTTTCTGTCGACCTGTTAATTTGCGAGCCTTTTCCTCGAGCTTTGCTTTCTAAATCATTAATAACAATGAAAAGCAACTTTGACATCGTCAGTTTTCGTGTGATATAAGAGTACTCATCATCATCATCATCATCATCATACACGTTAGCTAGAGGTGGGAAACACCTCAGCTACTGTGCCGCAATACAAAGAAAAAAAGGAGAGAGAGTGAAAAAAACAACTGGTGCAAGCTGGCTGAGCTACCGGTAACGGACGGGCATCGTTCCGGTAAGCTACCAGCCGGCTGCTGTACACCCAAAAGAAAATTATTATGCAAAATTATATAAGGCTAAATAATGAGATCGTGGTTGGAGGGGGAGGCTAAAAGGGATGGGGTGGGACAAAGAAACTCACAGCACGAACGCCACTGAGAACGGCTCCTTGCTATGTCAGCAAGTGTATCCAGCCAAACGTGTTCATCGTCTTTCGGACCCCAACCAGGGAGCCGTGACGCTCCAACCGAGGCCAGCTCCGAAGTGAGAGCCTTCATTCCTCTGGACCAAGTAATCGCTTGGCCACCCCTCCTCTTCTTCCATCCACATCCCCGGCGCGCAAACAACACAGGTCGCGGAAGTCGGTGGGCTGGCATGCGTAACACGTGACCGAGCCATCGGAGCCTGATGCGTGAAATAACGGTGCTGAGCGGTTCAGTTCCTTTTCCTGTGCCATAAACAAGGCGTCGAACACGCTCGTTGCTCACGCGGTGTTCCCACCAGATGTGAGCTAAATTACGAAGGCATCGGTGGTCGAACGTAACTAGCCTCTTCAGGTCCGCTGCTTTAAGCGGCCAGGGTTCACAACCGTACAGTAGGGTCGAACGTACTGCTGCATTGTACATTCTACCCTTCAGGGCAAGAGTGATGTCACGCCGCCGCCATAAGTGGCGAAGGTTAGCAAAAGCGCCCCGAGCTTTTGCTATAGGATTCGTGATTTCATCTTCAATCCCACGGGCGCTGTTACAACTTCCCAGGTAGTTGAATTTTTGAACGACTTCCAGCTGATCCCCACCAAGGGTCAGCGAAGGAGGCGGTCCAGACCAATCTTGGAGAAACGCTTTGCACTTCGAGGGTGCGAAGCAAAGCCCGAAGTGACGGACAGCTAGTGCTAATCTGTCCAGTGCCGCTTGGCACATTTGTAACTGTCACAGATTAGGGCAATATCATCAGCATACTCTAAATCAAGAAGTCGTTCTCCTGGGAGTAGCTCCACACCTAAGTCGTGTCCTGTGAACGCGATTTGCATGACTTGGTCAACAGCGAAGTTGAAGAGGAAAGGTGACAGCGGGCATCCTTGTCTCACGCCGCTGGAGATATTAAAGGGCGACGACAACTTGTCGTAAGCCCTCACTCTGCCCGAGCTACGCGCATATAATGCTCGGATAATATTCACATATTTCTCAGGTACACCTTTCCTGAGTAGACAGTCCCAAAGTGCATGTCTATCCAACGAATCGAATGCACCTTTGATATCGAGGAACACGACAACGGTGGGTTTGCCAATATATGTGACGGTACTCCAATAACTGACGCAAAGTGAAGATGTGGTCAATGCAGCTACGACCTCGACGAAATCCAGCTTGCTCTTCGTGAATCTGGCTTTCACGAGTGACAGTCAGTCTGTGAAGGATGACAGAGGAAAGCAATTTGGAGGCGATGGAGATCAGACTGATTCCTCTATGGCTGCCATACAAGAGTACTAGGAAAAACACAATATTTCGGACTCCTGGAAGTATTGATCTCTCATCCTGCGCACATTGGAAAGATTTTACATACAGTCCTTTCTCAGAATTTTCTACCAAAAGTCCAAGTGGGAATCGGCATTTGCAGTGTTTCCTGCAAAGAAGCTCGAATTTGGTGAATCTCCCACTGTATCGGAAGCATTCGGACTGATAGTTCCCCTTACTGCGTTCTTATTTGGTGATAACAGTGTCTAAGTATACTGTACACAAGGGATTGCTGTCCTTTTCGAAGTCTTCCTTGTAAGCTTGTATCAAATTCCAATTTTGGGCAGGAGTACATCACATCGAGTAAGATTCGGGTAGTCTAGATTGGTACACTCGTGTCATTTGCGGCGCTACCTAGTCGTGCTTTCGTTGACAGCATTACAGGCCATCGCAAGCCGATCCACACCTTTCCGCTCCTTCTTCACGAATCTTTATTTCTCCACGGATCGCTAGTGTGCCCTCGGGTCTTTATCTAGTTGGTTCAGTTGCGCTGTGGCATTGCGAGGTGCTCCGATGCTGTTAGCAACTTGTCCGATTGTAGGCAATGTGAGGGTTGCGTTATATGATTCCATAAGGCATATACTGAGTTAACACCCTTCTGGCAAGCAGCGAGAGATGACTCTATGACTGTCACTATGGTTGTAAACTTGGAACTTAGCGCTGTGCGATCAGGAAGGACTGCTTTAATAGGCTGGTTTTCAGACTAACAAACATGCAACACGTATTGTCTTTGTTGTTGATGACGGTGCAATACCGATTCATTCATCTTAGTGCTGTTTGGGCTTGGTGGCAGTGCAGCATCAATCGATCGAGACAATGTCTGTTTGCTTGAGGAACACTGTGCAATGTCGTTTGTTCGTGAATCTCCGTTACAGAAAAGCGACATGAAAGCAAAGATTGTGGTGGACTCCTTCCTTCTCGATACGCCCATATCGGAGGCTCAGGTACTCATGCTTTGCGTGAAATAAATCATACTAATGCTGGGATGGTCGACATCCAACGTAACCATTAGGTACGAGTTGGCCGATTTGCTGTATATGAACTGATCACGTGTCTGATTTCTTCATAACTGCTCTCTACCTGCGGACTACAGTGGCTTTCGCATGACAAGCTTATCCACGGAAACTGCAGGCCGGTTAGTATAAAAAGCTTACAGGTCAACGTGCCGGAGAAGCTGGTGAGTGATAGTAATATAAGGCAAGGCAATAAGTTACCGAATACACAGTACACAGATTAGGTGCAGATGATCTGGCAAGAAAATGTGAACTGCAATCCATTCTGAACACTGTTCAGTGATTTCAACTCACAGAACCCTATATCAGCAGCCCAGCACAACTCACAAGTCCTAAGGGTCGCTATATTCTGACTGTAGATATGGAACTTAGTCGAAGTCACTGAAGGACGATGATCTATGAGTGCAAATGTGGTTTAAAGCAGTAGCAGAGTGTTGGGCGATTGCGTACCGCGTTTGATGATGATGCTCCTTTAAGAACCACCGTGTTTGAGTGGTTTGTGGAATTCAAGCGTGGCAGACAGTCCTTGGAAGTTGAGGCACGGTGTGGTCGACCTGTGGAGTCCACCTCCGCGGACAACACTGCTGCTGTGAAACAGACGCTGGAGGAGGACGCGCGGGTGACTGTTGTACAATTGTGGAACGCCATTGGGATCTCATCGGAATCAATCCGCACCATCGTAGATGAGAAGCTCGGCATCAGAAAGGTATGCGTACACTGGGTAACATATTGGTCACACAGAAGAAATGACAGCATAACGCTGCTCGCTGTTATAGATTTCCCAAATTTCCCCAGACGTTAACGCCCTACCGTCCTCATTTCCTCTGCTAAATGCCGACACGCTTGCCAATTTACAGTACTCATGCTCGCGAATAATACCTTTTTAACATACAGTATATTACATACTGACGTATAATACAGTAGTTTCTTATAATGGCGCACTGCCATCGCGCTCTCACTCGTCAGATCCATTGCCGGAATCCTTGCATCCAGCAAAACTCTAGCGCGAAATGTAATCTGTGAGTGGAATTATTACATATACACAGTTTACTAATGACCGTGCGATAAAGAGCATAACGAGTATGCAATATTTGTTTTTCACACCTCACTAATTCAGTTTCTCAAAGAGGCTGTTGGGGAGGGAGGCCACCATGTGATGTTGCGTGCACATCCCGAAACATTTTTACCACCAAACGGAGCTATAAATGCCATCTAACACACGCATTACGACAAATGATGTGTTACCAATTTTGCATGAAGTAGGTTTTTTAAGCTCCTTGTTGAGAAGCATCGTTACCTTCCCAAACTCTCTTAGGAACGGAAATGATCAGCTTCGCTGGTTGCCTTCAGGCACCAGTATTAAGCTTGCAAAGGTGTGCGGCATTTCTGAACCATTCCAGACACACGTCGAACGGAACACAGGTGTTTATCTGCATCACCCGGATGTTAACAAGAAACATTATATCACCCAAGGATTTAGCCAGAGTAGCGTTTTCACCGGAATCAAAGCAAAACCTAAAAATTAAAGAATTCTTGAAAAATGACCAAGTTACTTACGTGGCTCAGATTTGGTGGGTGCACTCGGCGCAGATGTGAGTTCGCACTCCATGCTGCTTACAGAGACTGCTGTCAACACGTGGCCGCGGAAGCCAACTGATGTCCTTACAACGGGACATCCAACAGTGATTTGGACGGCCCTGTAAGAAGACGCAATTTCAGCTGGTCAAGTTAAAAGGGGACGGGAACACTAAGAAATTCCTATAGACGTTCATACTTGATTGCGTCGTTCAATCAGGACAAAGTTTGTAGGATCAATTTGAAACGTAGGATAGACAGATAAATACACTGGATCCACATTAGGATCAAGCAATGTCTACATGAGCTGTACAAGTAGTCCCTGATGTACTGGTAACATGGAATAAGAACAAATGCTAAGGGGAAAAAGAAAGACAAACAGATGACTTGCAACCTTAAACCCGTCCGCAGAAACTGATGACATGACGTCCAATTTAAGCATGTGACGCGCAGACGAATAGAAAACAAAGTTAATTGCGCAAAATGTCTAAATATGGTAAGAAATATTGTAAGTCGCTAGTTCCTAACGAAAAATGTACTTCTAGTCTGTACGAATGACCAGAATCAGAATCAATTTATTAGAGGAATAAGATAGGAATCTATGTGATCTCCATCATAAGTAAAGCAAAAATGACCCGTACCGAATATGGGTCTGTGTGAATGCACATCAATAGTCGTTTAGTAATAAGCAAACAAAATACCGATAAATAAGCACAAAGAAAGCACTATGTGTCTTGGTCTTTTAGGGTTGCTAGTGTAGCCGTGACATAACCACGCGAGGAAAAGAGGTAAAACATGTAGTCTGCACCGAAACACAAATCTGAAAAATGTTTGTCAATGCTTCGTTTGAAACACTGCACTGAATCAGAAAGAACAGCGGAACTGGGCAACCAGTTCCAGAAATGTATCACACGTCGCGACTCACAGTCTGTGTGT